AGCGCTAGAGCGCTGCAACAGGCAGCAAAAACGCATATTGCAACGACCCTGTCTGTGTGTGTGTATATTTGTGTGTGTGTGTATGTGTGTGTGTTCGTCCGTCCGGGTATTTCGACTCGCTAATCGCGCAAGCTTTGAAGCTGAAATTTTGCCAGTGTGTTTCCAAGCCAGGTACCATCCCAGGACCGCAGTTTCAACCTTCACGCACGTCTGGGCCCCGCGTACTAGCACGTGAAAATTTTGGCGCGGAAGTCGCTAACTCGGGAACGAGAAACCTAGAAAAGTGAAACCTTGGGAGAATGTTCCCCACCCGTATACGACAAAAAGATTTCAAATTCAGCTGCCCAGGATTGCCCGGGGCCCACGTACGGGGACGTGGAAATTTTGGCGTGAAAACCCGAGAACTGGAAAAGCTAGGAAGCTGAAACTTTAAGAGAATGTTCCCTACTCATGTGCGAGCAAGATCAGATGTTAAGAGGCATCCGGGGCTCACGTACGGGCGCGTAGGAATTTTAACGCGAAAATCACTAACCCGAGAACGGGAAAAGCTAGGAAGCTGAAAATTTAAGGGAATGTCCCCTACTTATGTAGAAACAAAATCAGTTGTTTAGAGACGCTCGAGACCCAAGTACGCTACATTTGAGAGTTTTGGCGCAGAAATTACTAACCCGGGAAAGGGAAAAACTAGAAAACTGAAACTTTATGGGAATGCTCCCTACTCATGTACGAGTAAAATCGGGTGTTTGGACGCGCCCGAGCCCACATACATACATGTGAAAATTTTGGCGCGAAAATTACTAACCCAGGAGCGGGAAAAGCTTGAAAGCTGAAACTTTAAGAAAATGTTCCCTACTCATATACGAGGAAAATCAGGTGTTTAGAAGCATTCGGGGCTCATGTACCGGCACGTGGGAATTTCGCGCGGAAATCACTAACCCGGGAACGAAAAAAGCTGGAGAGCTGAAATTTTACGGGAATGTTCCCTGCTTATGTAGAAACAAAATCAGTTGTTTAGAGACGCTCGAGACCCAAGTACGCCGCATATGAGAGTTTTGGCGCGGAAATTACTAACCCGGGAAAGGGAAAAGCTAGAAAACTGAAGCTTTATGGGAATGTTTCCCACTCATGTACGAGCAAAATCAGGTGCTCAGAAACGCCGATCCCACGTACGAGCGCCTGGAAATTTTGACGCGAAAATTGCTGACCCAGGAACGGGAAAAGCTTGGCTCACGTACGGGCACGTGGAATTTTTGGCGCGAAAATCACTAACTCGGGAACGGGAAAAGCTATGTTAGAAGCATCCGGGGTTCACGTACGGGCGCGTGGGAATTTGGCGCGAAAATCACTAACCCGGGAACGGGAAAAGCCAAGAGGCCTGAAACTTTGGGGGAATGTTCCCTACTCATGTACGAGCAAAATCAGGTGTTTAGAAGCATCCGTGGCTCACGTACGGGCACGTGGGAACTTTCGCGCGAAAATCACTAACCCGGGAACGGGAAAAGCTAGTAAGCTAGAACTTTAAGGGAATGTTCCCCACTCATGTACGAGCAAAATCAGGTGTTTAGAAGCATACGGGGCTCGCGTACGGGCATGTGGGAGTTTTGGCGCGAAAGTCACTAACCCGGAAACGGAAAAAGCTAGGAGGCTGAAACTTTAAGGAAGTGTTCCCTACTTATGTAGAAACAAAATCAGTTGTTTAGAGGCGCTCGAGACCCAAGTACGC